ACTTTCTGGACTGTGCTTTGTCAATGTTTTATAAAGTTAAATATACATATATCTTGTGGCCAGTTCCACTCCTAGAGAAATGAAAACATCCAGAAAGATTTGTAAGAATGTCCGCAGCAGCATTTTTACAATAGACAAAAACTGGAAATACCCAGCAAGACAGTGGATAAATAAATGTTGGTATATCCACAAAGTGAAATACTACACAGAAATGAATGGAACAAGCCACTCACACAAGCAACGGCATGTGAATCTGACAGACCTCATGCTCGGAGAAAGAAGCCAGACACAAAAAAGACAACACTGTGATTCCATTGATAAGAAGTCATCTCACAGGCAAAACTCTTCCAAAGTGAAAACAAATTCAGGACAGCAGTTCCTCTGGCTGCTGGGAGGGAGGAGAGCAAGTGGGGAATTGGCTGGGAAGCGGGTGGGGGAACCTTTTGGCGTGATGGAAACGTTCTATACCTTGACAAGGGGATGGCTTATACAAGTGTCTGTATTTATCAAAACTCACCCAACTATCCATCCAAGATCTGTGCATTTCACTATATGTCAGTTATATCCCAATAAATAGAAAAAACCAAAAACAAAAAACAAAAAACGAGAGGAAATGTTTATTCTAGGACTAAACGTACTATGTCAGCTCCACAGACACGCCAGGTTTTCTAATTTCCAGGTCTTCCCCACCCTACTCTTTCCCGCTGCTTCCTTCTGTATTCCCTCCTCCCTTCCTCCAGCGGGTCCTTTTTGCATTGTTTCTTTTTTTGGTCTTTTTTTTTTTTTTTTTTGAGACGGCGTTTTGCTCTTGTTGCCCAGGCTGGAGTGCAATGGCGTGATCTCGGCTCACCGCAACCTCCACCCTCCGGGTTCAACTGATTCTCCTGACTCAGCCTCCTGAGTAGCTGGGATTATGGGTATGTGCCACCATGCTTGGCTAATTTTGTATTTTTAGTAGAGACAGGGTTTCCCCATCTTGGTCAGACTGGTCTCGAACTCCCGACCTCAGGTGGTCTGCCTGCCTCAGCCTCCCAAAATGCTGGGATTACAGGCATGAGACACCGCTCCCAGCCCGCATTGTTTCTTTGAACTGCTAAGTGGTCCTTCCTATGTGTTCTCTGTGTGCTCCCAGCCCCTGCACACTCTACGCCACTCAGCAGAAGCCTATTTTTCCCCACCAGACCAGAAGGCCCTTGAGACCTGGGGCCTGCCTTAAACACACAATGAAAGTGACCTGCTCATCACTGCTAATAGCCGACGTAGTGAAGGAACCGACCATGTGTTGTGCACTTTCTCTGCACTAAGGGCTTAATGTGGATCTGATCATTGTCTTGTTCATCGACGAATCCTGAGATCCCAGTATGCACAAGGCAGAGATTCCGTGATTTCTTAAATATATTCAGTGTTCTCAGATATGATGCAATGGAGCAAAAGGTCACCCCCTGGTTGTAAGAATCACAGGGGATTTTTTAAAATAACATTTTTCTTACATTTTTCTACAGTTTAAAAAGTTTCTGCTATTATATGTTACCAGTACATCAAAATAAAGGAAGTTCTGTGTAAAGAAAAGGTCCACTGAAGACATTAAAAACACAAGAGATATTTTGAGATCAAGCTGAGGTTCTTATAAGCCATTTTTTTAAAAATGTTGTTACAGCTCTGTTTTTAAAGATGGAAATGCTACAATCTGAGTAGAAGCTAAGTCAATACATAAAAAGAAAAGAAAAAGCTAGAATGGACACCAAACTGTACTATACTTTTCAAAGAAAAATTTCTTGAGAAATTAAAACTTATCCCTTTTTTTTTCAGCTTCAATATAACAGGAAGAAATAATTTCAGAACGGACTTCCCTCTTTTCCCATAAATATACAAAAATCTTTACTTTGATGCCAAAACAGTTGGGGATATGAAAAGCATATTGTGATCCAATCCTGCAAAACCGTCTTCACGGATTTCCCTGAATCCTCCCAGGCCCAATGCAAGAAGTCCTGCTGGGTAGAAACACTGAAAGTGTGCGGCCAAACCTTGGCAGCTCAAAATCTAAAGAGAACTGAGCTCTGCCAAATGGCAAAATGGTTATCCTGGACTATCTGGCAACCCCCACCAATAATACGTAAGTGATAAAGCTTAAATACAAATCTTAACAAGAAACAAAACTCTATCTTGTTCCTAAGCCTGGCCTCAATTGTTTTCACTTATTCAGCTCACTTACTGTGAAAAGAACAGTATCTGCATTCCTGTTCGGTTCCTATAAGCTCTTCACCTCACCTAAAGACAGGGGTGCGGCCCCTACAAGATAAGATATACAAGGCTGCAAAGATTAAAGCCTTCCAGAGAAAGACCCTTTCAGAAGGCTAAGGTAGTAGTAGTTTTAAAACAGGCCTCAAATTCTTCACTCCTCCTCCGGTTGATGGGTGAGGCTGGTCTATCTTTCCCAACTTGAATCTCTGCCAACCTGAGTGACCGGGTGTCTCATAGAGCACAGGGAAACTGGCACTGTGTGACTGGAGACCAGGTCTAAGAGGCGACACAACTTCTGCCTCCTGCCCCAAGCTGCCCTAGAAGCCAGCTGCCTTAAGGCCGCCATGCTGTGAGGAAGCTCTGGTGCCCACGTGGAAAGACCACACAGAGAAGCCCTGAACCCTCATGAACATAGCCTCCAGCTGCCCCAGGGACCTTCTCCCAGCTGCTCCAGCACCCTCTTCCCCAGGTTCCCCAAACCCCCTCTTCCAGCTGCCCCAGAGACCCTCTTCCCTAAGCTGCTCCAACTTTAGCCCCCATGGTCTGCAGCCTTAGACATACCCACCCAGGCCTTTCCGAAATCCTGACCCCACTGAAATCAGGAAAGGTATAAAATAAATGTTGCTGTTTTAAGCCATAAAGTTTCACAGTGACTTCTTCCACAACAGATAACCAGCAGAGAAGCTATGCATGAGAAAATAAAACGAGGTAATGAAAATATGAAAACGAAAGAAAGACCTATTTCTGAGGTTAGCAGCTTCACAGAGAACATGACAACAAAGATAAAAATGTCTGAAGGGCAGGAATTTAGGGTGGCTTACTTCCAAATCATAATGATGAGCTTAAGATTTCTTCCAATCTATTTATTTTACCAAGCAAATCAAGAAACCTTAATATCTGAAATTGGTGGAGGCCAGTATGAAGTAATAGAAACTGGAATAGAATCATTAGAGTACAAACAAGCATACAGTAAAAGTAATTTCTATCTGAGTGCTTCTAGGAAGGGTTTCTGCCTAACCTCTTTTCAGGAACAGCCAAAATTCACTTGTAATGAGACGCTCCAAGTTACATGCAATTCTTGCAATAAAAATCTTTAAAGATTTTATCTTAAGAATGTGAAATTTGCCTATTTTCTTGTTGACCTTGTCAATGTGCTTAATAAACACTTTATATTTGAATGATATAATAATAAACCTCACCTAGTACTGGTCAATTTTTCAGAAATTTGGGGGAAAAAAACAACTGACATCTGAATTAATGAGGTATTACAAAACCCAGCAAACAAGCAGCTCTTGTCTAAAGGTTTGCATAAAACAAAGGCCCCTCTGTGATTATGTTCCCACAACAAAGTGCTACTTCCTAATTAAACCTACACATAAAATAAAGCAGGGCTCCAAAAGGCAGCTTTATTTTCAATGCCATAGGGAACTTTCCTTCTTTACAAAACAGATCTTATCTTCTAAAAGACCATTATACATTTTTACTCACACATCTGACCCTCACTCCCAGTGAAATGTTCTCTGGGTTTAAAAGCTTTTTAAGGAAAAGAGAAGATACTGATTTATTTTCCTCCTCCTTCGTAAAAAAAAAAAAAAGGTTAGGTAGCACCCAATTCTATCAGCCACTGCAAAAGCATGAAGACAGTGTCAATACCCTACTGGATTCATGGGGGTGAGGACCCTACTGAGCAGGCAAACAGAAGAGGGAAGCGGATAGAATCTGAACACTCCCAACATCAGGAGAGAATTGCAAGAGCTCTTGCCAGTCTCCCCATAAAGTCAGAACAAAGGAAAACAATAATTGGAGACCAAAGACAAGGCGACAGCGTGGCATGGTGTAGAGGGAACCAGAGGTCCTGGTTTCCAGGCCTAGCCTGAGCACGTGCAGCCATAGACCCCGGGCAAGCCTGTGACCCGCTTGCTCTGTGCTGTGATTTTTTGTACCTGCAAAGAGGAGATCATTCACATTCCAGAACTGTTGGGAAAAGCAGATGAAATAATACGGATGAGGAAAAAAATGCTGAATAGTCTATAATTCATATCTATAAGTTCCTATATGTGTAGCTGTTAATAACATTCCTCTTTCAAAAGATGCTCAAAACAAAATTAACCATAAATTTGTCATATAAACCTCAAACGTGATTGATATTCACTGCATTATCTCATGGGTATATGTACAAAATGAACCTTTTTTCATCGATAGCTCAAGTTATCACCCGTAACAGAAAAAGCACCAAAATGTTAGGCCTGAGGATTCTTGGGCAAATGATGGGTAAGCCATATATATAGAAACTATTAATGCAGCTTTAACAATTATTAATCTTGAGTTTTAGTTATACTGGGAAATGCTCATGATATAAAATTACATAAAACATTCAAACACGAATTTATATATCACATCATCTGTCTCAGCTGGACGGTCAGAGTGGTGCAATGATGCAGAGTCCAGGCTCTTAAGCTTCAGTGAGTCCCACCCTTGAGCAAGCCTCTTTAAACTCTCTAAGTCTCAGTTTTGTCATCTGTCTAAAGGGGATAATAACAGGAGCCAACTCATAGGCGATTATGAGAATTCAATGACATAATCCTCATCAAGTGCATAGCACAATGTCTGGCGCAGTAAGTACGTAATACATAATAGTACTGTCGTAGCATTATTAAATGCACAGAATTGTAGGCAAATGACACAGTCAATATTCCAAGATACCAATTAGCGATTGCTACAGGGTGAAGAGATGATGTGTTTCTGCCCGTTTACGCTTATCTGTATCTTCCATTTTTCTATGATGATTCCATCTTAATTTCCTAATCAGAAAAAACAGAATAATTATTGACTTATGAATTTCTCAAAATCTGCATAACTGCACTCCTTAATCCTGTTAGCTAACTGTGATTAGATTCTATTAAGCCCTTGTTTAACATTTCCCTTGGTGATATCTGAAGATCTTTGGGAATCTAAAGTAATTTGCGTATTAGAAATATGACAGAGGGAAAAAAACTCAGGTTTATTAAACGTGAGGAGTTTGTTAGGTACTCTACATCCTTCACACTATCACATTTCACTTTGTATATATCACCCTACCACACTTTATGCATCTCCACCAAATCACGCCACCAAAACCCAACAGTTAATACACAAATGGAACTGCTTCTGTATTTCCTCCATCCTTATCCTGAAGGTCTCGGGACCAAACTGGTGCCCTGATGCAGTCTCTCAGCTGAGAACCAAGAACACCTAGTCTGTAATGTACTAGACAGCAGTCCATGATTTCTCCAGAATTCACTGCAATATGCTTTCTACATATTCAAAAGTATTTGTAATAAAAAGGCTCAATAAATAAAAAAATCTGAGAAAGACTTGATCAGATAAAAGCATAATGTGCTTTGTTTAAAAAAAACAACAACAACAAAGCACAAGCAGAATTTTTATACTGTGTAAACGGTAAAGAAATTTCTGAATACTACTTATTTTAAGTGATCTTATTTTAAAAGCTTACCCTAAAACACTGAAAATTACCTAAAGCAGTCTATAACTACATGTGTATGTTTATTTTTTAAAAATGCCTTAAACATCTAAAATGGAGACTGCCTTCTGGAATTCCTCAGACTAACTTAGTCCATCCCTTCAGGATGAAGTCAAGCATGACAAATTTCAAGACAAAGGATAGACTTACAGAGGTTTGAAATCTATATGTAAAATATCCAGGTGTTAATTTGGCCAAACTCATGTAATACCACATTCCTAATAATGAACACAGTTTTACTTTTTCCTTTAGAAAAAGGAAAATACGTTAGAAACGTGATGGGAAAAACCAAAATCTTCCAGAGAACCATTCTTACGACTGAGATAAACACAAAGGCCAGGGTAAAAAAGAAGTTCTTGGCTGGGCGTGGTGCTCATGCCTCTAACTCCAGCACTTTGGGAAGCCGAGGCAGGTGGATCACCTGAGATCAGGAGTTCGAGACCACATACCTGTAATCCCAGTTACTCAGGAGGCTGAGGCAGGAGAATCGCTTGAACCCGGGAGGTGGAGGTTGCAGTGAGTCAAGATCGAGCCATTACACTCCAGCCTGGGTAACAACAGCGAAACTCCGTCTCAAAAAAAAAAAAAAGAAAAAAGAAAAAAAAAGAAAAGAAAAAAGAAGCTATTTTCTTTTTTCTTTAGGGGGATTTGAAAATATTAAGGAGTGTCACATTAATTCATGTCCTACACCTGAAAGCTATTAAAAGTGTTATTTTACTTTCATAATACTGTGAACCTGAACTTGGAAAATGTCTTCTGAGCTGCACATCTTGCTACCTTATTTGCCGTGATTATTACAGAACACAAGTTCCTTGTACATCAGTATATGAAGTATCACCTTGTCATGTGAAAATCCTGCACATTTGGCCAGGCGCGGTGGCTCACACCTGTAATCCCAGCACTTTGGGAGGCCGAGGCGGGCGGATCACAAGGTCCAGAGATGAGACCATCCTGGCGGACACGGTGAAACCCCGTCTACTAAAAATACAAACAAATTACCCGGGCGTGGCGACAGGAGCCTGTAGTCCCAGCTACTCAGGAGGCTGAGGCAGGAGAATCGCTGGAACCCAGGAGACAGAAGTTGCAGTGTGCCGAGATCACGCCACTGCACTCCAGCCTGGGTGTCAGAGCGAGACTTTGTTTCAAAAAAAAATCCTGCACATTTTAAAACTATCACTTATTCAAAGAATTCTGATTCTCATTAAATCTCCATAATTCCTATGTAAATCCTACAATGCACATTACAATTATTTGCCTCTCTTAACCAATCTCATATTTTACATGAAATTTATGAGTTCTAACACAAGAGAATGGAAATAAATAAGAATTAATGCGATGGCTTTTCTGAAAAGCTCAAATCAGAACCAGGACAATGGCTCCAAAACACCTGCTAACAGCTCCAGAACACCTGCCATCTCTCTTCTCCCCTCCCCTCCCCTCCCCTCCCCTCCCTTCTCCTCTCCTCTCCTCTCCTCTCCTTTCCTTTCCTTTCCTTTCCTTTCCCAGGAACATCAGGGCAACTGGGGCTCATCTCATATTTCTTCGCATCCTCCTATGTGGCCTTCAAGCAAGGGAAGAGGATGCAAGTGTGGCTGGAGCCAATCATACCTTCCCTTTCCCCACTCATGCTGAAGGCGCTGCTTAAGTTAGTATTGGGCAACTCCAGCTTACCTGGCCCAGACAGACTGCATCTGGCAGGGGAGACACAGTCAAGAGGTTTAACACTGTCTTGTTTTGTTTTCTTCTAGCCTTATATAATCCTTATAGAATAACTTGCGCAAAGACATTAGCAAGACAGTAAGCTAAAAGTTAGGAAATACAACTGTTTTTCCCCTCTCCCTCCCCATGCATCTGTCGGCAGCCAGCAAACAGCCTGACATATCCTGGATGGATGGGTGTGCCCTGTTGACACAGCTTCAAAGAACATCAACCATAAGGAAGCAATTTCACCCATCTCCCCAAAGACACCTGGGAATGATAAAAGTGACAAGAAATGGCACCAGGGACTCTTCCTGTATACCACTTGCCTTCACTTGGTGGAAAATAGACCAGAATGTAAATGTGTTCAGAAAGAAGCCAGACTTTCCCAAAAGTCATTGGAAGACCACAGTTGAGCAGCCCATAGACACTCTTCGATGGTGCTGGCCTGACCTACCTGTCTTAAGTCCAGAGTGATTGTGACCCAGTGATACTCTCTCCCATTCTGAATGCTGGGACTTTGCCACCAGTTATTGGTGCCATCTATGGCATGTGATATTGGATGGCGTTCTGTTAAAAGAAAACAAAAAACATGAATTCCTCTCAGCTCTTGCTTTACATTTTTAAGTTCTAAACCGTAATGCTAGTGGAAACAAAGAGCAGTGAAGGTGAACACAATGTTTATGGCTTCCTAATAGAAGTCTCAGTCCTCATTTCACAAAGTGTACATTCCCACGGTAATTTCAGAAACGAAGGCACGACACTTGCCTCTGGGGTTCGCACTGTTGCCATCACAGATCCGGCACTGTGGGTTTCGGACGGGCCGACCCGGCACATGCTCCACAAGTTTGCAGAACATCTCGGGCCCCTTCTCGCCACAGGTGGCATTGGTACTGATGTCAGCGTTGCTGGCAAGATTGAGAATGGCAGGAAACAGGCCTGAAAGTGAAAATTCACCAAATCAGTTGAGCCACTTGAAATCCAGAGAATGAGCTTACCCCATCCCACTTGGTAGGTGAATCAAAAGGAGACTGAAAGTGTATGTGCTGAATGAAGGAATCCTTACACAAACACAGGATACTAGCATGGTTTCAGCTATATGAAATTCTAGGAGAAGCAAAATTCATCTATGGGGAAAAGTCAAAACATTGTTGCAGGGGGTAGGGATTGACTATGAAAGGACAGAGGAACTTTCTAGGGTAATATGTTCCTATCTTGAGAAAGCTTTGGGTTTCACAGGCAGATGCAGTTGTGAAAAATCACAGAATGAGTACACCTAAGATTTGGGTAGATCTGTGTATCTTAGTACGTGTACACTCTACCTCAAAAAAACAAAATAAAAGAATCATAAACAAATACCAATGTACATGGGGAAATGTTTAGGAGTAAAGCATACTTATGTCTCCAACTCACTTTGAAATGCATCACAAAGTAAGCTGGCTTCCAATGACATGCCATCTCACACTAGTCAGAATGTCTATGACTAAAAAGTCAAAAAACAACAGATACCGGAGAACCTGTGGAGAAAAGGGATGCTTATATACTGTTGGTGGGAGTGTAAATTAGTTCAGCCACTGTGGAGATCGTGTCACTGCACTCCAGCCTGGGCAATAGAGCGAGACTCAGTCTCAAAAAAATAAATAAATAAAAATCAAGGCAAGAGTATGGGTGTTCACTGTACAATTCTTTCCACTTTTCTGATTGAAAACGTTTACAATAAAATGTTGTGAAACAGGCTTTAGGGGAAGTTGCAAATGACCAATGCATATATTTATCAATGCAATTCAAACACCTATCACTGGAAAGAAGGGCATTTATTCTGTCCTCACTTTGGTCCAGTTGCCTCTGGTAGTATTTACAAGGTCTTTTCTATAATTATCTAGGATTTTTTTTTTTTTTTTGGTCTCTCTCTCTTCTCTTTCTTTACTCCTGTAAAATTTTAGAACCCAAAGATCCAGTTTTCAAAATGCTTGTCAAGTCATTATTGATCTCTGCCTTTGTACAGTTTCTTTGTCTCAGCTGATTTTATCTTTAAGCAGCCAAGATCAGTACCAGGTCCAAACTATTCAGGAAATAATTTCCGGGTGACTGTGAGAAAAGTCCCTCCATTCGGTTCTTTGGAGGTTTAACTTTATCTTGGTAAAAGGGGATAGCAGCAGTGAAGACTCTATGAAGATACAGAAACAATGGTGTGACGCGACGTTGAAGAGGCGTTCTCCAGGCATGGACACTGAGCTGAGAGCATACTACAACGGTCTCAGCTCAGTGGCGTTTCTCTAACATACTACGACTTGATCTTAAAAGATCACAGAATATAAAATCTTTTCTTTGTAAAAACCATATAGAAATACCATTACTGAAATGTTTATTTTTCAGTGAAATTTAAAATAGCACAGTGTAATTTTAGTTACACAGAAGGAATTCATGGCTTCAATTGTTATTTTTTAGGCACTGCCTAATACATTCAATGATCTTTTCCATTATAAATATTTTAAATTTTAAATTATAAAACAAAAATGGTTCTTTTTCTAACACTTGCTACACTAAAAAACTTACCATGCATCTATTAAAAAAAAATTAGGTAGTCTTTCAAAAACTTTTTACATAAAACAGAACTCCCTATTAGTAATTCTACTCAAAGAGAAGGACCCCATTCTGTCAATAAGTCCTCACCCTCTCAAGATAAAATGGTTATTTAATATTTGTACTCTAAAGCCTTATTCTTAATTTTGAAACATAACATGGACTTACATCATATACTATGTTTAATATATTTATTTTCATTTTTAACTTAAAGATGCTTATTTTTATCATATCCCTGTCAAGGGACTTCTTTTCTTAATATAAACTAAGAAAAAAATGCTTTATGAGGAACCAGATGAGACATTATGTTTAATCATGCAGCTCCCCAATTTATTATTTTCATCAAGCAGTAGTCAGACAGTTATATTTTATGTAATAATGGAGCTCCTACAGTAACACATACATTCTTATATGTGGTACTTACCTGTAGCAGGGGCTGACATTTATTCTATTTGGTACTAAGATAAATAATAATTTCCTCCATCCTTTATGACCATAACATTCTAGTATTCTGATTCAAATTTCTCTTATGAGCTAATCATTTAAAATAAAATATGCTTTCAAACTATGGCGTTTTGTCCAAACAGCTAAAATGACATTTTTTGGTTCTGTATTACATACACGCATTTAGATTTACAGTACAATCAACTTTATCCATTCCCTTCACACAGACTAGTCAAGCAAGAAAAAGAAACCAAGGTTACAAGAACTGACTTCACAAGGCATTTCTCGATTAACAACAAATACTTCACCACTTAATGAATGTTCCCACTTTCTCCTTATTCACCCCCACCAGTTGCAGGACATCAAAAGAACTCCCCACTACCCCCCAATCTGAGTAACTGCAGGGTCTTGTTATTGAGAGGGAAGTGGGCCAGGGAGTCATGGGGGCCCCACACGCTATCTCCGCCGGAGTCTTTGCCCTGAGCCACTGAGGAAAAGCAGCTCAAACCTCATGAACGTAAATTTACCTGTTTTTGGAGAATAATATCTCAGTTACAGTAATGAGCATCAGATAGTTCTTTGCACTGGACACATTTCTCATCTGGCTGTTTTATATATATATATAAATTATATATATATATATTTGTTTGTTTGTTTGTTTGGTTTTTGAGACAGAGTCTCACTCTGTCGCCCAGGCTGGAGTGCAGTGGCACGATCTTGGCTCACTTCAACCTCCACCTGCTAGGTTCAAGCGATTCTCCTGCCTCAGCCTACTGAGTAGCTGGGATTACATGCATGCGCCACCGCGCCCGGCTAATTTTTCTATTTTTAGTAGAGACAGGGTTTCACCATGTTGGTCAGGCTGGTCTCGAACTCCTGACCTCAAGTGATCCACCCGCCTCAGCCTCCCAAAGTGCTGGTGAGCCACCGCGCCTGGCCCTAAATATACTTTTAATAAAAAGAAAGATTGCTTTTTTTATTGAAAGTATATTTAGAAGAAATATACTTCATTAGCATGCCTATGCAAGTAAAACCTTCAAATAATTAATTTCATAAAAATATCTGTGTTGTCTTTCACTAAAACTAAATCTTCCTTCTCAGATAAGCTAATATTTGGAAAAAAATCTTCACTAAAAGTGATGTCTTACATATTATACTTACTCCCTTTTCATAGTTATAGAGTAATCACTATCCTTTTGTTGGAAAGAAC